GAACTGCAGTTGAACTGGGTGACTGAAATTATCCGTAGGTAGACTGAGCAAAAATTGCACTGGGACATTAAGTAGAGAAGAAATTTTTAAATCTTATCAATGATTGCTTTGTGAAGCAGCTGGTTAGGAGTCCACAAGAAGAAAATCAACCTTTTACTCAGTCCTGAGTAATGTGAAGGCTCTGGGTTTGGTTCAAAAATCTCACCACTGAAGTTCCGCTGCGAAACACTGATCTTAATGTACCTATGTTCAGCATCTCTTCAGGAGCAGCACAGGACATAAATTTCAATACAGGTAAAGGAGAGCTACATAAAAACAAGAACACTTGTCAAAGAGAAGATAAAAGGAGAAACTTCAGGGAATTAAATCCTTCTACAGTATATGGTGACAACTGATGGAAAGCAGACTACCATACAGGAAGCCAAGCGCCAGTGTGCTATTCATTCTCATTAGGAAAGGCTTGAGAAAAGGTAAAAAGAGGCCTGCCTGGCTAAAAAGCAAGGGGAATTAATAGAAACAGGACAGCATCCTCAAAACACCTAAAAATCGTCAAAATGAAGAAAAGATTGTAAAGTCTGACATATCAAATGAAAAATATAACCAGACAAAAAATATCTCAAAAACAACTAGCTAAAGGAATCACAACTACGTCTTTCTTCAAACAGGAGTGAAAGGTTCTCTATTGCCTATTGACAGCCAAGGAATAAGAGAAGCACTCAGAAAGGACAAGGCCATTGTAGAGATGCTGAATGGATTCTTTGCACTGACTTTCACTGTGGAAGAACCTAGGTAGGTTTGCATACCAGTCCTTTTTGCAAGGGATGCAGCACAGGATCTGTATGAAAATTTAAGTAATTGTGGAAGAGGTTATAGTGTACCTACGGACAAAATAAGCACTAACAAATCACCAGGACCAAAGGCTATTCACATACAGTGAGTTTCTAAGAGAAATCAATGATGAATAATTGAATTACTAACAGCTGGGCTAAGCTCCTACTTAAAATTTCCTTAGTATGAACTGGTGGGTGGCAAATATGATATCCATTTATTACAGAAGCTTCCGAGGGGAACTACAGGTTTGTGACATTGACATCTGTACAAGGCAATTTAGTACAGATTATAATAAGGACCAAGCAGACAGCTGAATAAATATGATCTACGGAGCCAGTGGGGGCGGAGGGTCAATACTGCTTCTGTAACGAGAAGCGCTACATTACAAACCTCCTGAGGTTCTCTGAAGACATCAATGAGTACATGGATGAAGATGATCTGGCTCAAAAAACGATTTTCAAATGGCTTTCCATAGAATCCCTATACAGGCAACAAAACAGGAAAGAAAAAACAATTTGGGGCCAAAAGAATTAGTGAAAACTCCTATTTTTACAAAATGCGCAATTAGAATTACAGAGTTGCATTGCATTATAAATCTACCTCATTTCAACAGAAGTAGGATAGAGTTACATTATCCCAAGAAGCTCAAGGACAGAGTATGCCCAGAAAACTGCATTTGAACTAACTCAGTTTACACTTCAACTTTGGGAAGGTCTGGACTCAGAAGAAGTATAGTAAGTATGGCAGTTTAATTAATTCACTTTAAAGCTCAGGTGTAGGAAAGCATCTCAGCATAAATCTACTGCTTACTGCCTGAAGCGGTTTTTTGAAGAGTTTATAAATGCACCTAGAGATCCTGCAAATTCACCGATAATACCTTTGCTTTGTGATTCATAAATGGGATTCTTCATAAAAATTATATCTTTGTACCTAATTCCTCTTTAATTTTTATTATGTGAATACTTTCATGTGATACACTTTAAATATTTTAAAAGCTCTTTGTTGTTTCATGTTGCTTTTTTACCTTTTCTTGTTAAATATAGATTTTTGCCTCTCAATACTACCTTATGCAACAACACCAATAATCCTCTCTTACTGCTCCTTAATTACTCTCCTTCCCTATTTTGCAAAGAAGGTGTTCTGAGTAGCAACTAATGTAATTATGTCTCACTGCTCAAATTTATAGTAGCTAACCTGCATTCACAAAAGCATTATGTTGGTGAGCACATAAATCTAGTTCTTCTAACCCTCCCTAAATAGCATATACCAATGTAGAAAGGCTATCAAAAAAATATTCCATCCTCTTAACACAGTGATGGCAGCATCAAACTCCTCTTTTGTTAAAGAAATTTCAGAGATTTGGCTTTAAAATACTGCATGTAAAAAACAGGTGCATGCATGGATATGCATGGAAATTATCTTGTGGGAGGGTTGTTATTCCCTTTCCAAACACGAAAGGTGTTTTTTCCCCCATATAGTCACAATTTCTGTGAACTATAACTTTTCAATAAAAATACCCCAGAACAAGCCCAGGAAAGCTCACAACACTACATATATCTTTAGCATTTGTCTTGCCCATATTTACTGGCCTCTTACCAGTTTCTAGAACTAAGGCCATCAGTTAAATTCAAGCTGTGACATCTGTTTCTGTGGTATTACAGAGATATAAATTAAGCATAGTTTTTGACTCTCATGTCTCTACCACTTTGCCATCCCACAAACAAGGAGAGATCAGAGTCTCTATTTTAAGTGTTGAGCACTACTATTTGCAAGATTAGCTTGAGGTAACACACAGGTTCTTATTTGCTTTTTATTGCTGTTGCAACTTTTTTCCTCACTTCTGAACTTTTGCAGCACCTCTCCAGCATGCTTTCATTTTTCTCTCCAAAAGGATGAGACATCGGAGGATTTTTTTTTCCTCCTCCCATTTCTAGCAAGCAGCAAAGTCTTCCTTAATCCCACATCCAAGACCTGAGGCTTCGTTGAAAAAACAGGGCCTGGTTGTGGAAACACTGTGACTGGGATGGGCAGGTAACGCTCTGTTGTCTCAAAGGAGGAAAATATCCCGAACATGGTACTAGATGCAGTAATTCCACCGGTGTGGGCTTCTAAGAAACCAGGAAGAGCAAAAAACGTAAGTCTGATTAAAATAGAACTAAAAGAGGGGGTGAAATGGTAAAGGTGCATCAGTACCCCATTAGGCTGGAAGCTCGCAAAGGCCTTGGACCCCTGATAAATACCTTCATAGAATACGAACTGCTTAGCCAATGTCAATTTGAATATAATACACCGATTTTGCCAGTAAAAAGGCCCATTCCCAGGAATACTGATTAGTGCAAGATTTGAGAGCTATAAATCAACTAACCAAAGATACACATCCCACTGTGTCTAACTCTTATACCCTATTAGCATCTGTACCCGAGAGTAATGCCTATTTCACAGACGCCTTCTCCTGCATTCCAGTGGATAAGCAAAGTCTTTTGGCCTTTGAATGGGAGAATCCAGTCACTGGAAGAAAAGGTCAATTGTGTTGGACTCTTCTTCCCCAGGGATTTAAAAATAGTCCTATTTTGTTCCGTGAGGTGCTGGCCAAAGAATTAGACCAGTGGTGAATGACGAAGATGGTGTTACTCTTTTGCAGTGTGTGGATGACATCTTAACTGGAGCTGATACTGAACAAGCTTCTACAGAAGCAACAATAAGCCTGCTAAACTTTCTGAGACTAGCCGGATACCAGGTCTCAAAAAAGAAGGTCCAAATTGCAAGAGAGGAAGTCTGGTATCTCAGGTTTGATATATCAAAAGGACAACAAGCACTGGGAGGGGGGGCGGGGGGAAGGAAGCAAGCAAGCAAGCAAGCAAGCTATATGCTGAATAGCAGTACCAAAAAACAAAAAGCAGCTAAGACAGTTTCTGGGAATGGCCGGGTTCTGCCAAATATATATTCCCAGTTTTGGACTTATAGCCAAACCCTTATATGCAGCCACCAAGGGCTCAGGGGAGCTGTTAGAATGGACTCCAGAATGTTGAAAAAGCTTTGACGAAATTAAAAGGAAATTGATGGACGCCCCAGCCTTAGGCCTCTGTGATTTAGCAAAACCTTTCCAGTTACATGCACATGAGAAACAACAGGTGGCTTCTGGGGTAATGACTCAGATGCTTGGAAGCTGGAAAAGGCCAGTAGCTTATTTTTCAAAACAACTGGATGAAGTAAGCAAGGGATGGCCGGCCTGTCTCTGAGCTGTAGCTGCAACTGCTTTATTAATTCAAGAGGATCGGAAGCTCACCTTGGGACAACCAATAGCAGCGTTAGCCCCACACGCAGAGGTGGCTATTTTAAATCAAAAGGGGCACCACTGGATTTCTCCAAATCAACCAGCCAAGTACCAAGCCACACTGATAGATCAAGAAGATGTTACCCTAAGTGTGGTATCAACTCTTAACCCTGCCACTTTGTTACCAATAGCAGAGCAAGAACCTTTACAATGTGATTGTTTAGCAACTGCTGAACAGGTATACACCAGCAGGCCGGATCTGAAAGACGAGCCATTGAAAAATGCAGATTTGGAACTATTTACAGATGGTAGCAGTTTTATGCAAAACAGGGAAAGGAAAGCCAGATATGCAGTGGTAACCCTCTGGGAGGAAACAGAAGCTAAACCCTTACCCCAAAATACATCAGCACAAAAAGCAGAAATCATTACTCTTACTAGAGCCCTTGAGATTGGAAAGAGTCAAAGGGTTAATATTTATACTGACTCTAAATATGCTTTCAAAGTCGTACGTGTTCATGGAGCTATCTGGAAAGAACGTGGGCTGTTGAACTCCCAGGGGAACGGTATAAAATATGGACAAGAGATTTTAAAATTACTACAGGCCATACTAGAACCAAAGGAAGCGGCAACAATTCACTGCAGAGCCCATCAAAAAGGACAAGAAGAAATAATTCGAGGCAACAGGTTGGCTGACCAAGCTGCAAAAAGAGCAGCTATACACAAATCAGTGATAGGTGCCCTCATACCTAGCAGGAGACCGGACTTAAAACCTCCGCAATAGTCAGAAAATCAACTGGTAGAAAGATTAAAGTGTACAAAAAGTGAAGAAGGATAGTGGGTGACTCCAAACCAACAAATGTTAATCATCTAGGATCATCTAGGATCATCATCTAGGATGAGGGAGGTTCTCCTTAAGAAGTTACATGAAGATACACATATGGGATCAGAATTTATGGTGAGCGGTACCAAGAGATACACCATAGGACCGAAAATACATACAAGTACAGATATAACGGTAAAAAAATGGCAAACTTGCTGTGCAAGTAATTCTAAAATTGAGAAGAAACCTCTGATGGGTGAAGTAAGAAAGGGGATAACCCCTGGAGAATACTGGCAAATAGATTTTTCCGAATTGCCAAAATGTGGACAGTATAAATATTTACTTGTGTTAGTAGATACGTTTTCTGGATGGCCTGAGGCTTTCCCCTATCACAACAATAGGGCTAGAGAAGTAACTAAGATCCTCTTAAAGGAAATAATCCCCAGACTCGGGGTCCCCGAGGGCATATCCTCAGACAAAGGGCCTCACTTTGTTTCAGAAACAGTTCAGGGAGTATCTAAATTCCTCCAAATACAATGGGACCTGCATACCCCTTGGAGACCACAGTCTAGTGGAAAGGTGGACAGAATGAATCAAACCCTTAAAAGACAAATTTCTATATTGTGTCAAGAAACCCAGTTTAAATGGCTGGATATTCTACCAATTGCTTTGATGAGAATTAGGATCACTCCATGGGCCAGGGAAGGGGTAAGTCCATTTGAAATATTGTACAGAAAACCGTATCCTATTAATGAAATGGGAAATCAGAGCGATCAAATGCATATCAAAGGTGAGAGAATCCTGAAACACTATTTGCTATCTTTTTTGCGGGTGTTATCCTCTTTACACAGGTATCTCAACCAGCGACCTCCACTTCCTTTAGACTTTCCAGCCCATAGTTTCAAGCCTGGAGACCTGGTTTATGTCCGGACCTGGAAGGATGAACCATTAAAAGAAAAGTGGAAAGGACCTTATCTTGTGCTCCTAACTACATATACCACAGTAAAGGTGGAAGGGATCAGCTCCTGGATCCACTACACGAAGGTAAAAAAAGCTCTCCCAGAAGGGCAATGGACATTACACAAACGGGAGTGCTAGAATTAAGACTCTCTAAGAACTATACAGGCTAATGAAGTGCACCTGGAACTCCAAAACTTGCATACACTGAGTTAGAGTGCTCATAAGGACTGTTATTGTCTGGCTGTGGATTGGTAATACTGCTGCCTGCAGTCATAAGATTTATTTATAGAATATTGATCTTTGCAAGCTAAACCACAGTGTCTAGAGGACTATGGATAAGAATACTCTTAATCTTACTGTGTTCACCTATTAGCAATATGAATCTGATCTTACAACTTACACAGTCTTTTGGGAAAATCCATGATGTAACTCAGATCACTGTTTGCCAACTCCAAGGTCTGCTGAGTGACCAGTCCCTTGGGGAATACTCACAACTAACTTAACATCAATGTGGGAACATACGTGAAAAAATGTACCCAATAATACCATAACATGGTGTAACAAAGAAGGGAAACATATTCTAAAGTGGTCATGAAATGGGATGGAGGAACTAAATTCTCGCTTGCAGGCCCCCTCCAAGACGGCTTTACAAAATCATTTGCTCCTAGATTTACTTTTATTTCGTGAACATGGAGTATGTGGCTATTCAGACCTAAAAAATGACAGTTGCTGTGTCCATATCCCTAACATCCCGGAAAATCTGAAGAGACAATTTGATCGAATGGAACAGATAGCAAACACTAGTCATGATCTGAGGAGCAGTATGAAAAATGGCTGGTTAAATAAAATACTTCATGGGATGGCTACAGACTTTATTTCAAATCCTGATTATACTTGTAATACTGATTATAGTAATTGGCATAATCTTTAGATGTAACAAGGGTATAATCATCCGAGCTGTATGTCAGGATCCTCACCTATAATGATAACTACAGCCCACCCTGTAAGTCTTCCCTGAAAGCCCTGAAAGCCTTCCTGTAAGAAATAGAGAAGAATTCCAGCAAGATATACGCCAGTGGGAAGAAACCAAAAGACGCTACTTGAGACTTATTTGAAATAATGAATTATTAATCTAAGTCTCAAAGGGGGGAACTGTTGGAGGTATGGGGAAAAAGGGAGATTAGGGCATTATTCAGTCTTTCACAGGTAGTTAACAAAACAAGACCCTGAAGGAAGGAGCAAGACAACACTGTAAGACAACCAGATAAGGAAGTACCCAGATAAACCCGAAGAGAACAAAAGCAGTTGATAAACAGGAGAGAACTACTTGAACCACGGGTGAACTAGCCTAACTAGCCTAATATGAAACCCACCCAGGAGCAGGGAAGCCCCCTGCTGATCAAAGCCCCTTCCCCAGAGAGCACGCGTAGTAGAAAAAGAGGATACTGCGACTTCAAATGAAGATGAGACCTAGCATGACTTAATGCAGTTGCAAACTGGACTGATAACTGTTGCTTAAACGACATAAAGCATAGGCTGCCTCGTAACCAGGTGTGCTAGCTTTGTGGAGTTACCACCCCGCGCCCGCCTCTGCGCAGAGATGACTTCAACAAGGAGCTCGACCCTGTGTGTTTCTCAGCTCATTGCACACCGGGTGAAAGAACCCTTCTTTGGGGATAACAGCATCCCCCCCGCCCCGGCTCCG